TCTGCTCTCAGCGCGACGTTCTGCTGCGGCAACGCGCCACTCAGAAGCGCCTCTGTTCGCCGCGGCGCCGCTCAGAGCTGCGCCTTTGCTCGGCACGGCACCGCTCAGAGCTGCGCCTCCGATCCGCGCAGCGTCGCTCAGAGCTGTGCCTCCGTTCGACTCAGCGCTCTCTGGCTGTGATGCCGGTCTTGTTTGCTGGCCGACGGGCAATGCTCACCGCCTTCCGCTCCTGTCTTGAATTGAAGCCGCCTTGAAACACATGTGTTGGCCACCTGGGTGAAGACAGCAAAGCTACCATTCCACGCACTTCTCATTTGCCACTCACTGCGCATGCTTTATGGACGGGGGAGGGGCAGTGAAGCGCTCAATTTCAAATTAATTTCCAGATCGAGACCGTGTTTGTTTCGAATCTAGCCCTCTTCGTGGTGTATGAAACGCGCTGGCACAAAAAAAGAACACTTCTAATGCAAATCAGCTTAAATGTGCGTGAGCTGGTAGTCGCGTCTCCACTTGGCTGCATTTGGTGACACAGCGTACTCATCACCCGAGGACGTACATTTCACCGCCGTGCATCTTGCTCTCTAGGTATCGGCTCAGTCCTACATGTTTTTCTGAATGCCCTGTGAGTAACTTCTCCCTTCAGCACATCTTCGCACTGCTTTCATGCCCGCCTGTTGGGCAGACACGCCGGGTGACGGGTAGAGTTAGTGGGCATAGATAAGCATGCAGTTAGCTGCACCAGAGGTGAGGATCGACCCAGAGGATCGTGTTATCCGTAAGAACTGAAAGCACGTCACGGCACAAGCTAGGCGACTGCACTGAGAACAGGCTTATGGAGCTTCCTCGTGCCTTCTGTCGTTCAGCTACGTATCAACGCTGTCGAAGGCTGGAATTCTGTTTGTTTCCAGTCCGTTTTTGGGAGTGTGTACGCCGCCTTGATGGCGATATCCTCACCGAACCCGCCCCTGTGGCATTTTTGCCTGCGTGAGTTCTGCCAGATGATACGAGTGACACCTTCGTGATTCCGCCACCGGCTTGCTCGTGTACGTGGGTCCAGATCCGCTACCAGGGGTGCCCTTTTTGACTTCTGCCGGCTGCTGCTCATCTAGTGAGCTTGCCAGATATGCAGCAGCCGACAGCCAGATGGTATCCTCTGTAGCCCGTCTTGTGTATCGGTGTCCGTCGGCGGTGTCCTCTCCAGCTCGTCTTGTGTATCGGTGACCGTCTGTGCACCTCTCTGATGCCTCTCGTGCCGCTCTTCTCTACCTGTCGAGTCCAGGCAACGGTAGCGCCCTCTCTAACCCGCCCGCTGCGCCGCAGGACCGCCTGATCACCAGCTCGGCCTGGCGCGACATGGCCGCGCACAACAACTACGGCTACGAGAGCTTCGAGCCGGACACGGCGACGACTGGCCGGCCGAGCAAGAGCCGCGGCCCGCCGCCGGGCCAGCCGGCGCCGCCGCCGCCGCCGCCGCAGATGGTCGAGACGCGCTCGCTGCAGCGGCCGCGCTCGGGCCCGGCCGGCGGCGCGCCGCGCTCCAGCTACAGCCTGCCGCGGCCGGCCAGCCAGTTCTCGGCGGCCAGCTACCAGCCGGGCGGCGAGCGGCGCGCGCCCGGCGCCGCCGCGCCCGACTTCTACTTCATGCCCAGCCAGCGCAAGTACTCGGGCGAGGGCGGTGGTGCGAGTCTACGTGGACTATAGCAAGCAGCAGTGAGCCGGCCCGGCCCGAGCCGGGTCGCTGACGCGTTAGCTAGGGGGTGGGGAGGGGAGGGGAGGTTCGGCGCGTCGGAAGCTGCGGTCTACAGAGCGGCGTTGGCCGGACCGGCGAGCGTCCGCCGCACCGCGGGCGGTCCGCGGACCACGCCTCGGCAGGCGACCGCCGCTCGCTCTCCCGGCGCGGGGTTTGGCGGAAGGGACGGCGCCGGCGTGAGCGCGAGGCACGGCTCTGCGCGTGACGGCCCTGTCCTCCTCCGGGGCTTTCGTCACGGTCCAGTGCGCTCGGCTATTGTGGCGTGACTAATTGAGAGCGAGTATTAGAGGACGGCGGCGGCTCACTCGCCGCGGGGACCGTCGGGACGGTGAGCTAGGCACTCTTGCGGCGGGCTACCGCGCGAGTCGCCCGGACCGTGCCGGGGGCCGTCCGCTCCCCCGGAGTTGCTCAATGGGTCGGCTTCCCTGCCCCGTCGGGGGCCGTCCGCCAGGCTTCAGCACGCGACGAACGGCGACGTCTTCGCGGTGCGAGCTGACGACGCGATCAAACGCAGACACGCTGCGCCTAAATACGGAATTGTTGCGTGCTCACGACACGAACTTGAGACTTGTCCGACGTGGGTTCGATGCGTGTCCAGATGTCAGCCTGGATTGTGTCCCGATGCTAACTTGGACACCCGGGGGCCGGCCTCCTTCCTCCGGCTGACATATCGAGAATGAGGAGGTGTTGACGCCGGGGGCGTGAACATTTTACGTCTTTTTAGTTTGTAATTGATTATGACCTTTGACCAGTAAATGAACTCGACTTTGAATTTGCGCCAGACGGTGAATATCGTACTTCCTTTTGTGCTCTGGCCGTTGTGAATAGCCTACAATGCATCGAACGAGCACATCATCACGCCCGCGTCGTGTTGTGATTATGTAAAACACGGTCTCCCATGTGAATATCATGTAACAAAAATGCGTCATGAACATAAGCTTTCGGTACTGTGAGCGTGTGAATGGGTGCCTGCCGCATGATTGACAAAAATAAATCAATGACGTAAGAGAGCACCGCGCTGCGTGCAGACAACACAGGACGATTCTCATCCTTGGAGCAGGCCATCGCGGTGAAGCCGAGGTAAATTACCGGTGCGGGCTTACAAATCACAACAGATATGTGCAAAGGAAGACGACTGAGTGCACGTGGTGTCAACAGCCGCCCGGTATGACTTGAGTGCTAGGCAAAGTATTCGCTCACGTTGTGGCCTTTGTGTTTTTCGTACCAACTATTTGAGCTGTTTTCAAACACAATCACTCTCCGGGCGCTATGTGCTCATAAAACGCACTTAACGAGTGATGTAATGAACTATCAATAACATGCCTGATACGAAACTCCTCAATTAGATACGAATGCTACGAACGTACGTCGGTTGCAAAAATAACTAGAATTTTGACCAGATTCCGCTGGTATCACATCCTGCTAGCGATTTCACCTGGCGGCTCATGTGCTCTGACCGCCTGGGGGGGGGGGGGTCAGAGCACATGAGAGAGTGGGAGGGGGGGGGGGGGTTACAGTTCCGGACACATCCCGCGGGAGTGGTCGTCTGTGTGGTATTCACTGCACAATGTCGACATTAGCGTGGCACCAGCGGACCATCACGACTGCCAATCAGTGATGCACGCATGAGGCGCAGCACGCCACGTTAGTGCTGCTCTGCTGGGGCCGAAAAACATGCCTGATGCCTACGGATCCTGGAAGGTAGGACTCAAGGATGAGGAATTTTACCATCTCCAGGCGGTAAAAGCTCCGGGCGTCAAAGACGTCAAATGCTACCTAGTGTTGTGAAAACGGCGCAGTGAAACCAAAAGCCGCAATGCGTAAAGAGTCAAATGTCCCACCGTCTCAGCACGGCCAAAGGCTTTCCGGCAAAATTGGATATTCAAATCCAACAGCAAAGGTCCGAAACGGCAAGTTGATTCAAAAAACTGCTAAAACGATAGACAGACACCAGCGCCCGAGGTACACTCACCCGGTACACGAGGTAGCACTCCGCTGAGCCAGTGGTCCCTGGCCTGGGCCATGAACAATGCTCTGGTGCCCATCGAAGGTCCGTCGTCTTGTACCATTGCCCAGAGCTAGGGAGACCCAGCTGTGCCTGAATCAGGCATTGCCGAAGTCGGCACGAGAATCATGAGATTTCTAAATTTGGAATGGTATGCACACACCACGCCGCTCAACGAGCGCACGTCCCTCCATATTTGAGAACCTCTCGCGGCCAACGCCAAAATGTACGCAGCACCTCACCCTCGGTGCACTAGGACGCCCCAGTCAACAGTTGAGAAACCATAATGAGCAAAGCTGGCGCCTTTGCAAGCAGGGAGCTTGGGGCCCCTCCATCTCAACACGGGTCTCGCTTCGTGTCGTCATCACGGATTAAGCGGGCCCCCGAAAAAAAAACAGGCAGACACAGTGTCAGGCTGTCCCGAGGTCCCAACGATGCCAAAACAACACAATTGACACCACACGTGTTTTATAACGGTATATTTAGTCACACATGTTAACACGACCCTTCAGTGGGTACTGGGTACACATGCAAGCACCAACGGGACATGCGCCCGGCCAGGCACGAACGCCATCGCGCTGTAATTCACGTCACACCACCGCGTCTGGCCGGGGAGGGTTCCACCAAGCCTTACCGGGTCAGAGGGCGGCAAATCGATCACAAACGCACCTAGTTTACAGTGCTTCCCCATAACTATTAATCACGATCAGTCATCATGCTCGGCTCAGCCGCAGGCGTCAGCATTTGCGCGTGACGATACAAAACAGAATCCTCTCACCGACAAAAAAATCACCGACAAATAATGACGCTAACTCATCAACTCAACACAGCCCGCGCGCGTAAGCCAGTACGCGCGGCGAGTCGAGACCACAGCGACATCGAACACAAAACTCCACAGGCGGAAAGAAAGACCGTGGGCGAACGCAGCGTAGCGGCGAGCGCGGCGCCTTTCACTGCACGCGGGGTCAGCCGCCGCTGACCATGTGGCGGCCCCCGCTCGCGGAGGCGCCGCCGGCCAAGGCCCCCGCTCGCAGAGGCGCCGCCGACCAAGGCTTTAGCTCGCGGAGGCGCCGCCGGCCAAGGCCCAGCTCACAGAGACGCCACCGGCCAAGGCCCCAGCTCGCAGAGGCGCCGCTGACCGCGGCCCCAGCTCGCAGAGGCACCGCTGACCAAGGCCCCAGCTCGCAGAGGCGCCGCCGACCGCGGCCCCTGCTCGCAGAGGCGCTGCCGACCGCGGCCCGGCCGTCGGCGCCGGGTCCCGTTTTGACCGGTCGGCAGCAGCGGTAACCGACCGGCGACTGCCGCCCATGGCCCCCGGCGGGTATCACGTGGCGCGCTCGGACCGGCTGGAACGAGAGCAGAGCAGGCACGGTCAGACGCGGGCTGGTGCGGCGAGTCTGCGCGGCGCGGCGAGACGCGGCGCTTGTCAGACCACTGCTGGCGCACGGACGGGGAGGTGTGAACAAACAGACACAAACAAAAACACACAGGCATCAACAGAGACACAAAGACATCGACACGGATCGACAGACTGACACAAAGAGACATGCTGCACAAGGACGGACTGACATGTTGTACAAGCATCGTTTGCTAGCAAATTGTACGACGCTTCACATCCGAGGGTACCTGATATCAACGTGATGTCCCGTCTGCCCATCCTAGTTCCTCGGCGCCACCCCTCCCCATATTGAACTGTCCAGTACCACTGGGTGGGCTCAACCGTCGCTCCGGTATCTTCCCTCCCTCCCGGACTAGACCTCTCGAGATCAGTCGTCGTTTTCCCAGCCTCTCGGAGCCAGCCTTCGTCTGCCTCCAGCTCCCTCCAGAGTCAGCCGTTATCTCCCCCCCTCCCGGACCAGACCTCCCGGGCCCAGCCACCGTGTTCCCAGCCTTCCGGACCCAGCCTTTGTCTGTCTCGAGCTCCCTCCGAAGCCAGGCGCCGTCTCCCCTCCCTCACGGAGGCAGCCGCCGCGGCTGCCGGTGTCGGCGCGCGCTCGGCTGCCCCGCTCACGGGCCGCTGCCGTCCGTACCGCGCCGCCGGCCCCGCCGCACCGCATCGTCGCGCGCCCGTCACCCCTGTCGGCCCCGGCGCCGACTCGGTGCTAGTCTGCAACTGAGCGCGGTCGCTGCAGTCTCCGCCGTCCGAGCCGCGCTATGCGCCGGTGGTGGTGTGCGCCTGTTGAGTAGCTGCAGTCTCCGCAGGTCGCGGCGGGCTTGGCCGCAGCGAACGGGCGGGACGAACGGGAAATGGATGTCGTTATGAGGTGGTCCCGGGCAGTCATATATCGATGTCAGATGAAATGAGATATAGACGGCTTATCACCATCAGACGGAAAGAGTAATTGGCCCAATGAATAAGTTTCAAGTAAGCGACTTTTTGTGTGTGTTGGCCACATGAGACTGGACCGTTGGTAAAAACGAGCATTTGATTCGAACATTCGCTTAAGTCTATCTCACAAAAAGTTCCTAATCTACCGGAAGCAATAACACTCGGCGGTGTCCATGTCCAGGACGCGATGCACACAATAAGGTAACAAAATCGGTTTCCGTGAGCACACAAATTGCGTACCAAGCAACACCAGGCCCAAGTTCAGAGGTTTCTGTTTGGAAGAGAAAGATTCAGCGAATCATTACTGTTAATGAATAATCCGGAACCCATCAGCTCATCGGAAACCTTCCCCACCTGCAGGGATGCAGTGGGTATTACACAGCACGCGCTTCATCCCCGTTATTGATAAGTTAGATATTCGCCCATTGCTCATGGCGTGTGGACGGTGCATCTGAACATTGGAAAGGCCAGGCCAAACACTAATGTTGCATGCTTTGGTTTTCCTAACGGTCCTTTCGCAAGTTCCTCGTAAGCGAAACGTTTGTAAATATGAATATTTTCGACAACAGACATCCGGTATGTTATCCGGTTTCCCCATGTACGGAAGGCTGGTTACTGTTAGGTTTGACGCAGCATTGTAACATTGATTGCACTCAGCAACGGCCAAAGGCAAGGGCCAAACGGCCAAACCTTGTATTCACATCGGGCCGATTTCTTTCCGTCAGACGTTACGCAAGTCGGCGTACCCTGGCAGCAGCCATACGGAGCGACAGCGTAGAAGACCGCACTGCATTTGCCATCTAGCCCACTTGCAAACATACCATGATAATACAAATATCGAACAAATCGATTGGTCTAACTGCGATAAAAGTAGCAATTATCACAGGCTAAGTCTCCAGAGTTGGTCTTGCATGCTCTAAAACACCTACTGATCTTAAAAAGGTGAAAAAGAAGGTTAAATATCTCCAATACACGTGCCTTCTGCAGAGCTGGAGATCCTTCCAGAGCTCGGGATTCAAAGCTTTCTAGTTCTCAAAAACAACAAAGTCATGCTGAATTTTCGGATCAAGGGAAGCGTCCAGATTGGCAGCCAACCGAGTTATCCAGCTTCTGCGCCAATCCTGCAAGCTCTCAGAGAGCAACGGTCGTGTTTTCGTCCTGCGACTGTGCGTGGCGTGCTCATCGCACGCTCGCCCTGACCACGCTCGGCATTGGACGGGATAAGTGGACTGCGTTGCCTCATGGCCAAATTTGATCGCGAAAGCCAGGCCAGCGAGCGACGGTGGCTGCAGTCGACAGCGCGTGCTCGCGATGGTGAAAGGCCAGGTGACAGCGCGGGCGGCAATTTTACAGCAGTGCTCTTATTACATGGGTTTGTGGTCCGACACAGTACGCAGCCATGACCTAATGTGTTGCAACTAGCTAGTATCACCCCATGGTGGGGCTTGGCGGAAACAGCTCAGTCCTCTGAAGTGAAGGCCGAGTTCCTAGAAGGAAAGCTAGATGTAGAACAGTGACACCATGGGCGAAGTCGGCAATGCATGTGTTAGCATTGATCGTCACCCTCACAGAAAATGGAAGGCATGACCATTTCCCCACTTCACACGTGCTTTCAGCGCATGCGTAGCTCAGCCGTGGCTTCCACAGCTGGCCGTGTGGCCACCTGCGGTCTGAATCAGGCAGCACGATCCATTCACGCGCGGCTGCGCCGCGGTTCAAGTGGATCGGCCTCGGTCGTCTGCCAGTGATTGAGGTCTGTCTCGCCGTCTGATCCACTCGGAAGCCATTTATGCCAAAGAGAGGAACTACTGTAGGAATAGTGCGACCACAGCAAATCCGCATTGACCCAGGCCTCCAGGGTACCCTTGCGCCGTATGCGAGCGGTGTGCAGGCGAGACTGCACACCGTGACCTGCGCCGGACCCCGTCCGATTCGCGGAACACCTCCGAGATTACTCCACAAGGAAAGCGGCGGCGGAGTAACTGTGCGACCGCGGGCCGGCCCCTCGCTGCACAGCGTTGCAATCAGGCCGTAATTGGCTGCCAGCGATGGCCGGGCGGCCGTGCCGCGCGGACACACAGGTCATGGTCATGCTATGTGGGTGCTCGGGTCATCTGGCACGGATGCAGCGAGGATGCATGAATTCCAACCATGAGGATGGATGGATGCACGAAGCGATAATACAATACGGTGAGATTATAGTCTGACCATGGGGATGCGCTGGGATATGACATGTGGAGGCGGGCACCGACACTGCCGCATAACTTGAGGATAAGTTGGGAACGTGCGGACATTTTCACATGCTTTCTATCTCCAGGTATGCTGATGTGGCAGGCAGTTTGTTTATTGCCCACGCTGTAAACCACAAATTACCCACAAAAACGTGCCACGTCAAATCGTTTAGTCCATCTGCTCATTGCAGCAGGATATCGGGGGCCCATCTGCAATAAATCGGCTTTGTCCGAAACTGCTGGGGAAGACGAGCCATCAATTGCTATCTCTTCTTCGGGCAAGCTGCGCCTAAGTATCATTTCCTGTGTCTCCCTCGCTGCTTATCCCACGCCGCATCATTATGACACCGAAACATTGAAATAAACGTGCTTTTAGCAAAGTAGCGTCCCAATAGCCTTCAGTGATAATTACTCCTTAATGCCTAATTAAACTAGGAGTATATATGTCTGGTGATAGCAGGACAGACACTGCACTTTCGCTTTTACATCAAACCTCCATCACAACGCAGTCTCACGGTCGTCGAGTGTCGTGATGACCGAAAAACCGCATGGGCTGGCAAAAATCACATGGATGACTGCATGGCTTGCCTGCACTTTGCACAATAGCCCAATTATAGAAACGAACTAATAAAACATTGAAAAATTAAGCAACTGGCTGAAACATATCACTCCCTGCACTGCGTCTTAAGCATAGCCATGACGCAAGCCCCTGAGATACCCTTCATGATGATGCCGTAAACGCAGCATCTTTTACCCGGGGAAAACCCTACCCTTTTCGGTGGAATTTCCGCAACTGTCAGCGGACAACCAGTTCATCAAATTTTTTCTATTTTTTGATGGACATAATTTCATAGCAGCCCCAACTCGGGAATCCCAATTTCTACTGGCGGTAATGCCGTGAGCTACACACACTGATCACGCCCTATAAATGCACCGATTAGACAGCATGGATGAGGGCATAATCACGTTGCAAGATCGCTTAAATTACGCCGTGCGGCAGCACCAGCACGCTGCTCAGATGCACCGAAATGGCCTAACGGCTGTGGTGAGCAAACCTGCCAAGGTGCCAACGGCTCCGTTACACGCCGCGCGGCCATAGGCGGAGCAACACGTGGCCAGGGGCCCCAGCCGTGCCAACCACTTTCCCAGCTTTGGTGCTAGCGGCCGAAGCTGCATTGACTCTCGACGGAGAGAGAAAACGCCTCCCCCAGCCTCCCCGCCTCGTCCCTGCATTAGGAGCAGCCGCGATATCACGCCCGGCAGACCGCTCCGATCGCAGAGATAGCCAGGGACTGACCTCCACACCGGCGGGCCACGGGCGGCCGGGGAGCGGCCTCACATCGGCCGGACGCCGCCAGCGCCGCCACCAGCGCCGGCACGAGCGCCGCCCGGCCGGCACGCGCCGGCGGCGCCCCGGGGTCGGCGCCTGGGCTCGCCCCTGCGCTCACGCAGTGCAGCGGGCCGGCCGCCACCCCGGCGCGGCTTGACGCAATTGGGGTGAGGTCGGCTGGCGGCGGGAGAGCGGACGGCCGGGCCGTGGACGGCGTCCCGACGTGGGTGTGGCCATCGCCGGGGCGACGTGAATAGACCGCGGCATTGGCACAGGCCCCGCTGCAAGCGTTACAAGGTGATAATTGTTGGGCAATCCCTGACGCGGGCAGCAGCGGGCCAGAAGCGCGACGTGAATCAGCCCGGTTGGGGCAGTGGGGCGTGCGGTATGCACCTGAGGTTGGGGCGGTGGGGCGTGCGGTATGCACCTGAGCTGTGATCAGCCAGGATCGGACCGCAGCCGTCTGCCTCTGAGAGCCGAGCTCGGCAGCTGCATGAGGGTGGGGCAGCGTGTGGACGCCGCCCTGCCACCAGATCATGCTATACGGCTCGCGGTCGGCGCGTGGTCTACTCGACGCCTGTCCGTGAGGCACGACTCTGGGCCGCTGACTCGGACCGGACCCGCGGCCCGCTCCAGGGTTCGGTCCAGGACTCTGAGAGAGTCAGACCTCGGGTGAATCAGGACCAGACTCGGCGCCAGACGTGGCAGGATCGGCCGGGATGCTGCAGCTCGCGAGCGGCTGGGGTCGTGACATGGAGGGTGACGGGTCCGGCGGCGTCCGGCGTGGGGCGTCACACGCTGCCCGCAGCCGGAACCCGAGGTTTGGGGCGGCGCCACTCGCCCCGAGCGTCGCGCGAGACCACGCCCAAGGGGGCTGGGCAGGTGGCCAGACCCCCACGTCATACACACACAATCACACACAGACACACACACACACACGCACACACACACACACAAACACCACACACACACACACACACACACAAACACACACATGCATACACACACACACACACACACGCACACACACACACACACACACACACACACACCACACACACACCACACACACACACACACACACACACACCACACACACACACACACACACACACACACACCACACACACATGCACACACCAGCGGAGCAGCCGGACGGCCCACGGGAGACGTGACGGCGGGGGCTGATATGCGATCAACTTGCAAAGCGAGCCAAATATAGCGCGACGTGGTATGAGCATGTCATGAGCAAAACAGAATGCAAAACACTTTGGTTACATAACCTGGGGAAAGTTGTGGCTTTTGCGGCGCAGTGTTCTTACAAGACACCATGGGGATACTTCCCGGGAGTTTTTTGTTCGTGTACACATCCTTCATGATGTGTGGAGGCGTGCCAGCATGGCATACCCTCTGCTGGATGTACCTAAAGGCGCCTCATCATGTGCGCTCACTCCCTGCTTCGTTGCGCGCCGCGGCCGCCTCTGCCAGTTCGTGCCGTGCGGCCGGGTGTCTCGGGCAGCGCGCGTGACCAGCGGTCGTCCCTCGGGCCGCCCTGACATGGCCGGGCTGCGCGCCGCTCCATCCTCCGGCCCGGAGAAAGCTGCACCAGATGTGGCGGCGTGCTCGTGACCCACGCAGAGGCCGCGTCGGCCCCGCTCGCCGGACCCCGCCCGTGACTGTGGCCGGGGTGAGTCCCTGGGACACACACCGGCCGTCGGACCCGGCCGGGGTGTCTGAGTCCCTGGGTCTGGGTGTCCCTGGGACACACACCGGCCGTCGGACCCGGCCGGGGTGTCTGAGTCCCTGAGTCCGAGAGTCCCTGGGACACACACCGGCTGCCGGGCCGGGCCAGAGTCCCTGAGCCCCTGAATCCGGGAGTTCCTGGGACACACACGGCCACCGGACCGGACTAGCGTCTCTGAGTCCCAGAGTCCGGGAGTCCCTGGGACACACACCGGCCGCCGGACCGGACTAGCGTCTCTGAGTCCCAGAGTCCGGGAGACCCTGGAACACACACCGGCCGCCCGGACCGGACCGGAGTTTTGAGCCCCTGAGTTCAGGAGTCCCTGGGACACACACCAGCCGTCAGACCGAGCCGCCGCGGCCGTCGGTCACGCCTCACCGCAGACAGTGCGCTAACGAGGCGCGCACGTGACTCACCGGCGCCACGGTGAGGCTGGGGGCGTTAGTGCGGAAGATCGGAGGCGGAGGTCACGTGATGCCCGTCCCGGCTGATTAACGGTATTGCCAAGGGACTGCAAGTCATCCAGGGAAGCCCATCAAAGAGGTGGGGGATGCTATCGGAGAAAGGGGCGATCGCCGGCTTCCCAGAACAACAGTAACTTTTGCAAGGTTGTCGAAGCGTCAGAGGGTACCATGCACCCGTGTGAGCTAATGCTTCCTACGGTCGTGACAACGCCAGCCGAGGCCACAGATTACATGAGTCAGGACACATTTACTGCAGCCGTTTCCCAAGCTGTGCTCGATGACCCCGGCGTCTAAGAGCGCGGGCAGTTGAGACTGTTTCCGAAACGATCCCACAACATGGCCTGAGTTCGTGTGACACTGGGCCAACCTTGGCGGGCACGGCTGTTCGGAAAGGCGGCCATTGAGTGGGGTTCGCCGTGTTGGTTGTGCACACAAACTCATCCGCCATTTTGTCCTGTTTCTCGCTTTATCATGCGTCCCCGCTACGCCGCTTGTTCGGGACAGCTTCATGTGCCAGCCATGAGAAGGCCGAAGTGCCCCCTGGCGGGAACCTCCGTTCGAGCGCCGGGCACATGCTCCGCAGAGGGCAAAGCCTCGGTGGGTTGGTCTCCACGTGCGTGTAGACTTGGCTCGCCGTTATCCATTCTCCTTTATCACATAGCCCTGAAATGGTCACGGCTGGCCGAAAGGGCTTTCATCCAAACAACCAAACCAAGCACACGAACGCCCCGGATCTGTGGGAGAGCGGGAAGTCATGGAACGCTTGGCGGGTGGAAGCTTTTTGAATCGCCTGTTAGCCCAATTCGTACGATACAATGCCACGAGTCCAGTACTTTTTCTCCGGAGTTTGCGGGAGAAACGCCAGATTGATCGAAGTCGGGGAGGGGCGCTACCCCTGTCCTCACGACCCTATGATTTGTGTCGCGGCTCATTCCCGGGGGCATTGTGTGACATTGTGCTGAAATGTACCGGCGTCGAGCCGTCAACTCGGCGTATCAGCCGAGGACAGGTGGAAGGGAAAACCGCCGAGACAGTAACAGCATTCTCTGATAAATACCTACACTCTCCCACCCCAACCGGACGCGTCGACTGTAACTGAACTTTGCTGCACCCTATGTACTGACCGCAGATGCATGAATCAGGCGTGCACTATGCGTGCTTCGCCTCGCTTGGTGTCACGCAGGCTTCGGGCATGGTCCTATTTCCCCGCAGCTGTGTCTCCCGCCAGCAAGGGGCGGAGCGCAGTGAAGCCATGTGTGGTGCGGCGGCCCTGTCTGACCGAGCGGCAAGGGCACCTCTGGCCGGCAGGTCCGGCTCGGTACCGGCTGCCGGGAGCGCCGTCCGGCCTCGGACGGTGCCCTCGCGTGGCTCCCACCGGTCGGTTGGTTAAGGTCAGGGTGCATGACTGCCGGGACGGCATAGAGTGGCGGACGCGGTCGGCTCTAAACAGTGAGCTCAAAGCTGTGCAGAAACAAGCAGACTTTTGACAGCATGCATTCTGGACAATGGACGCTGGGCGGGACAAGGCCTGGACGCACGTATGGAAATGTGGGACGTGGACACTACACAACGCAGCATCGATCATTGTGCATCGTACTAGACACTAACTTATTTATTAGTGCATTGCATGGCTGGCAATATAGCATTGCATGGCTGGCAATGTAGTATTGCGTGGCTGGCAATATAGATGAGTGCAAGCACTGGACAATACTGGACTATCCGTGGGTGGTGTTGGTACCAACCGGTACTGGTACCTCAGAGGTTGCGGCACAGGAATTCCTCATCGAACAATATCGACGGAGGAGAGCGCGAACACTAAACAGTAGAGACCGGAGAAAGCTATACACTTCAACGAGCCCAGCCCAAAGCCCGAGCCCGACCCGAGCCCAGATCTGGATAACGTCGCCGCGGATGGCAGGCGCAGGAGAATGGACGGATCCGCCGGCCGATTTCCCTCACCAGCGTGGGAAGCCAGATGTTTGTGGCAACCCGCTATCAGTAATGAAACCTTCACGTTGCGGAATAGAACAAATGTGAGTCACCGATTTCGATCTTGACCACGAAGCGCCGCTGGTTCTTTTCCACGCGTCGGAAACTTCGGTGTTGCAATGTTACCTTCCTTAGAGGCAGTGACAGTTTGGACATCATAATGCAGTGGACGTTCTATTGCCGCAAATGCTTCTCAGAGATTTTGTGATACGGTGATATTCGGTGGCCAGGGCCTTTCGCCAGAAGTTTCGCAACAAAGAAAAACTGCTTTATTACCTCATTGTGTGCACAGTCGGTGGTGTGAAAAGATCATATCGATTTTGCCTTTGCTTACCAGACCCCGTGTGGTGTTCATTTCTACAACCAACGTTAGCGAAAACGACAAATCCTGGTTCTTTTAAACATGTCTTAGATTCGAGATTTGTGCAGGACAGGGACAGCCCCGCAATATGCCACCGACGAGCCCAGCCCGCCAGTGATGCGACACCTCAGCCCCACCAATCGCGCAGCAGCAGCAACGACGTACCTTCACAAGTAGAGCGTGCCGATCTTCTTCAGGTTGTTGTACTTGTTGTTGAGCAGGATGTTGTGGCTGCGGTGCGTGTAGACGCCCGGCTCGAGCCGCAGCTTCCGCTCGTGGTCGGCGATGATGCTCGGCTTGGCGAACATGTCCGGCGCCGGCTGGTGCAGGTCCCACACCAGGCTGGTCAGCGAGCGCGGCCGCGTCAGCTTGTTCGGCTTCGTCTCCAGCAGCCGGCTGCGGACGGCGGCCGAGCGCGCCGAGTCGCCCGAGCCCTTGTCGCCCGACGTGCTCGAGTCGAGCGTGTCGAACGCCGCCACCAGGCTGATGAGCGACTTGTAGCGCATGTCGAACAGTGGCGGCGCGGCGGAACGGACCGCGTCCGGCAGCGGGCCGTGGACGCTGCCGCCCTTCGGCGCGCCCGCCTTGTGTGCCGCGAACCGCTGGTTGGCGCGCGCGTTGCAGTTCTTGGTGAAGAGCTTGCCGGCCGGGCGGGTCTCCTCCGCCGGCGCCGGCCTCTGCGCGTGCTTAGCCGGGTCGGGTCGGCTTCTCGGCTGGCCGGGTGTCGGGCACCGGCGCCGCGGCCACCGCCGGCTTCGCCTTACCGGCCGTGAAGACTCCCGGGTGCAGGTTGAAGGGCCGCACGGCCGCCAGCGAGAGTCTCCGTGACGGGATCGTCTCGATGGGCGGCGGCACCGGCGGCTGGTCGGCTCGCGCCGTCGCCACCGCCGCCGCCGCTCCCGGCGCCGCCGCCGTAGCCGCCTTCGGCAGCGGCGCCAGGCCGCGCACGTAGTCGTAGATCTGGTCGATCTCATCGTACTCGTCGACTGTCTGGCCACTGTGACGGCGCGTCACGCGCGACATGGGCGCCGCCAGCGCGCGGCGCAGCCCGAGCGGCCGCACCGCCGCCTTCTTGCCGTCGAGGCGCGGGTCACGTGGCAGCGCCACGTCGAACGGCTGGATGCGGTCGGCTGAGTGCAGCCAGACCTGCGCGGCGCGGTCGCACAGACGGCCGAACTCGGCCGTGCGCGCCAGCTGCTGGCCGTTGACGGCCGCCTGCAGCCGCAGCGGCGCCGTCGGCGGCATGGCCACCACCACGCTGTCCTTGTGCAGCGGCAGGCCGAGCACCAGCTCCTGCTCGAAGGTGGTGTGCAGCCGCAGCTCGGGCACCGCCAGCCGAGAGCCATCGGCCGGCCTACCGCTCACCAGCCGAACGTTAAGCGGCAGCCGCTTGTTGAGCAGGTTGGCGACACTGTGCACGCCGCTGATGATGCTCTCCTTGGCGACGGCGCTGAAGCGCGCCTTCAGCTCGTGCGGCAGGTAGACGTTCTCGCCGCTGCTGTCGAAGCAGCGCAGGAAGCGGGCCGGCCCACGGCCGCGCGGCCGCACCACCTCGCCCACCAGCACGAGCGTCTCACCGCTCTGCAGCGTGCGCGTGCGCTCCGTGATCGTGTCCACGCTGTCCGACTTGGAGACGAAAGCCTTGCAGCTGCAGCGCACGATGCACGAGTCGGGGAAGAGACGCGCCAGCTCGGCCACGCCCTCGATGGCGCGCACCGAGCGGCCCTCCTCGCTCAGGATCTCGAACAGGCCGTCAAAGGTGTCCGGGATGAGCAGCTTCTGACCGACCGGCACCATGCGCCTGCTGTCCTTGAATTTGACGGCCTGGGCAAGCAGCCGGCGCCGGCGGCCGCCGGAGGTCAGCAGCAGTGTGCTGTGCACGCCGAGGCTGGAGAGGCCGCCCGGGCCCAGGCTCAGGTACTGGCCCTTCTGCACCTTCACCAGCAGCGGCAGCTCGTGGCGCTGCAGCAGTTCGGCCAGCGACGCCGCCTCGTCCGACCACGTGACCTGGCCAGCAGCAACGACGACGCGTCCGGGGTCATGGCGATGTCACGCCGCCGCGCGCTGGCTGACGGACGTCACTGGGATGGCGCCAGCTGGAAACGCAGCAAAGACGGCGTTAATGGTGCTGCCCTGACGTCCGTATGGCGTTTGAGGTGGTTGGGAACAGAGCAATGTTTGTTCCACTCTTAAGAAGTCGCACAATTCCTCAATGTGAGGACGCAATTTTGGCATGATTGGGATATTTGTTTGGAAGATTTACACCAACCGTGATGTTCGCAATCGCAATTTCGGATTGTCACAATCGTTTTAGAGATCCCTATGCAAAATAAAGGAGATATCACCAACATTGTGACAAGCGGGAAAGTGTGCGCCGCAGGTATGCTTGCTGTTGCGACACCAATTGCGATGACTGAGTCTAGTTAGAATCATAGCAACGTCCAGTTACTTTGGGCTTAGGTTCCAATGTAACAGGGTGTGGTCTAAATCCGAATTTAAGTTCGAACTCATGGCATACGGCTTATCACACTTATACCCGGTAAATGGCATGCCAGAATCCATCCAGACAACATACAAATTTATGTTTTATCATACCCACGGAATATCAACACTAATGCGTCTCAGATCCAACGAGTACTGTGCATTTTAAATGGTTCGAACCGCAAAAATGTACACGAGCACACGTAACGTTAGATTATCTCCGTCGTCTCATAGCTAATGGCATCCAATGGACGGGGATCTAATCTGATTTTAACTTACACGAAGAGTTGCAAGAATCAGTTAAATATAACCCTCCTAAGGTTTAATTGATGTCAAGGATGAACCGGATTTCACTCGGAATCAAGCACAAACTAAAGAGGTGCATCTCTGCCAAAACCCAGCCAACGACACCGCCCAACCCCAAATACCGCGAAGGACCACGGCTGTTGTCGACGGACTCGGGCGAGTTTTGCCACCTGTGGATGAGGCTGACTCTCTCCCTGCAAACAGCGCCGCTTTCCCACGTAACAAGCGGCCGGATCGGCGGCGGCGCGGCGGCGCCTGCTCTCATTGGCCTCCATCGGGGGGGGGGGGGGGCGCTCACGGCCGGCCAGACATCTGGGTTACCAGTAAACGGAAGGACGACGGTGGTCAGGCCTCCGCCGGCGCGGCGGAACGAAGCGCTCG